GTAAGATTCTTTTAAATACCATTGAGTTAAAGGGTATTTGTTGTCCTCTAGCTTAGAGTAGTAGTGAAATCTGTCCTTCTGTGGCTGGCCATGCTCACGGGCCAGTCAGCACATCCTAGCACCCTCCAAAAGCATCACGCTTTTCACTGGTTTCTAGCTAAGCTTTATGCATTAAAATTCTCATGGACATTAGAGGCTCCTGCTTTAAACCAGATTAAGACCTCATACTTCCTCCTCTTCCTGTCCTCATGTACTTCAAAATGTGTTTCCCCCCTTCTGCTCCCCCAGTCTTCTTTCAAACCTAATAAAATCTAGTAGTAGAGTCTTCCTGCCTAATGTTCCCAGTAGTGCTCATGCCTGATTGTGTCTGCAGAATTATACTTCTCAACAAAACAGGTTCTTTTCTGCTTCTTAGACCTTCACTTTTATCAGGCCTAGTGGCCTTTACAACAGCAAACTTCAGTGAAAAGGACCTCAGCAGATGGTGCCTCTTGGAGTCTGCAATGGCTCTGGCTGCAGATGCCCTCTTTTGCCCGCCTTACTTGCAGCTTTTACTAGTATAAAGCATCGGTGTGAAAACAGTGTGTATAGTAAACCCGAAGCTCTCATGTCATCTCTTCCTCTTCCTTGTTGGGATTTGTTCGTTATACTTTTAATATGCCCTTTTGTGACCTCAGTTGCAAAAATAGCTACCCAGATATACCCCAAAGGAAAAGATGATTCTCTCGGAAATTTCTTTTGAATCTCAAATTGACTAGCAGTTGTGTTTACTTCTTGGATAAATAGTTTAGGTTCCTGATCCCTTTGCACAGCTTTCTTCTCTTATTTCAAAGGAAATGTCCCCCTATTCTGTGGACTGCCTCAACTTTTCCTAGTTTTCAGGTTTTGCATATTCTTCTAGTGATTTTAGGTTTCACACTGAGGCAAAATCTGGCATGTTTTGCACCACAGCTGAATTTTTCTCACCTACTTTCTTATTCATTTCTCTTTGGTACTGTCAGATGGTCAGATAATAGCAGCTTCATAGCTAACTTCCATCACAGGGGAGGATGATCAGGTTTTCCAAAATACCGACAAACTGCCTGCTTAGTAGGTTTATTCTTAAATGAATCGTTAGTAGCGTTTTTCGTCTGTGCTTTTTGACATAAATTGCTGCTGTGTAGCTGGCAGTCTGGATATCGTCCATCCTAACTTTGTGACACTTGCTGTCAATTAGTCACCTTTTCGCGTTGTCTTTCATTTGCCCTCCTTTTTAAGTTTGTGCATGCATATCTTCAAGCAAGTGAGCCCTTTCTTTAGAAAGCTCTTCCTAATTTTCATTTAAGTCTTCATTATTCACCCTTCGCAAACTGGCAGAGTCAGAGTAGGAGCCTAGGGCTTTTTGATCATATACTGCCTGCTCCGAGTTATACTTTGTAAATGTCCTAGGGCAGTGGGTTGTGGCAAGAGTCAAATCACTCTTGGTTTTGCATACAGTTGAAAATGAGTGTGTATTCTCTCTTCCTTTTAAATCATCTTTCCTGAATCAAAGTCTAATGGCAACTTGGCTTTTTAACGTACTTAAGTGGTCGGCACAGAGTGGGATTCTCAGCTGCTCTCAGCAGCATCACTTTATCTCCAGTTCTTGCCCTCTGTTCCCTACTTCTGCACAACTGTGTGCCTTATAAAAATGTCACTGAAGAATAAGAAGTTTGTGCTGATGGAAGAGTGACCTGAGTAACGTCTTGTGTTTTCCTATTTAGTGTATTGCTGAGCGTATGTGCTGTAGTTGTTCTTTTTCTGGTTTCTCTTTTGTTTGTTGTTGTTGATGAAATGGTTATACATCAGTAACTCAAGTTTCAGAATGCTTATTCATTGCCTGTTTTCACATATGACATCTTGCAGGAAGTTATGATGGTCTTTTAGAGCTAACACTGGCTATAAACCTCATGGTTTGCTGTATTTGATCATTTCTCTTTATGGTAGCATTTAAAAATTGAGTTAGCAACCAAATACTCTCATTGAGTAGATTTAGGTTTCATTTCATCTGAAGAAATAGCAGTAAGTAATTCCAGCTAATGTTTGACTTCCCAAATGATGTTCAATATCTGCCATAAATTCCTTATGGCTTGCTGTTTGGCATTAAACCTGTTTGATTTGGATTTTCATGTTCAAAAACTTCTGTGTTAAAGGATTGTCCAACACTCTAGTAAACAATTTATTATTTCTGTTTAATAAAGGTTGCCCTTAATTTACCACAAAGTTCAGTATCCCTTGCAGATTTAAGGGTTTAACTATATAACCTGACACTCTGGAGGGAGAGGAGCGATATCTAGAACTCATTGAATGCTTCCAGTAGGTTCAGAATGAATAATTTTTACAAGCCTTGTAAATTGCCCAAGGAAGCCATCATTGAGTATTTTCTGTTTTGAGCTGTCTCTAACATTGGTTTTGTGTGTGTGTTTGTTAATACTTTTCCAGAACTTTTTTTTTCTTGAAGATGAACCCATCTTCTACAAAATGTCTTAGAGGAAATCTTTAGGTAAATCATGCTTGTTTGGGGCTTTAGGGTGGACTATTGCTGCGTTATGAGGACATATTGTTTGTCTTGCTATTTGTGGTAGAAATTCTTTGCAGCATCTTCTTACCTCAATCATGTTGTGTGGTAGTGTTGTAGTCTCACCTAATGTTTTTTTAAATATATTGATCCTAGCAAGCAATGGAAAGAATAGTTTGTGGCAGAGAACCTGTAAGTAATAAAACATTCAACATCAGTAACGGGGATATGTTTTAAGATGGAATAAGCAAAATTGTACAGAATTGATGTTGTTGAATGATATGTAAATAGGTATTTGTTTATTTCTTGAAACATTTTTTTCCTCTTAGATTAATTAATATCTATTCCTAAGTTTAGGGCCAATTTTAAAAAGGACAATGTGTGGAAGAGAACAAAAATGCATTTTTTTTAAATTTTTTGTGATTTTTTTGTGGCTAAGGCTTTTTTAACCATCCCAGGGTAGTTTCACAGGTTCTTAATTTTTGAGGTCAAGGTTTTAGGTTAGTATGACTTAAGAATTTTCACAGATAGTGCCAGTATCATATAATTCTCATGATAAAGAATCTCTAATTTGGGATATCTAATCATACATCAATCATACATAACTTTGTGAGTAACAGATAACAGGATACCCAGATCTTGTTTACACTGTGCGAAGTGATACGTGTACCTCTTCCAAGTAAAGAGTAAACTCCTTTTCCCCAGATTGAGTGCCAGTGGGTAGAAGATAAAGATTATTGGGTAACATTACTAGAGTCACCATTTCCCTAGGGCTTTGCTTCGTTCACTGCTGTTGTCTGACGACCTTTCTAAGCCACTGGAAGGGTGGTGATGAGAGGGTACAAAGAATCAGTGACAGAATTTCAACCTAAAGTGTCGTGTGTCAAAAGCAAACAGGAGACAAAAGCAAATGTGCTTCTTGCAGGGAACGCTGAGCTTGAAAGTGAATGGCATGAAACCCCACGTTGTGATGGACATCCAGCTCATTCCTCGCCCCACATGTTTCCGTCCCCGGAGGTGTGGTGTCTGGGTGCTTCATGGCTCCGGGGCTCTCTTCAGCGCCGGTGGGGTCTGGGGCACTCCTGAGACCCCTCGGAAGTGCTGGGAGCTGGATCTGTTGAAGGCCATAGTTCTGGCCTTGGGCACCAACAGCCCTTTCTTGGTGGGAAGCTGCACCACTCCCCCCCCCATCCTGCACAGGGCAGTGCTGTCTCTGCCGAATAACTGAATAACTCATGGACAAATTCTGCAAAGGAAGTCCTGGTATTTTCCTCGTAGCTGTAGGAGTGCTGTCAGCCGGTGTCTTGGAGCGCTGGGCTTGGTGCAGGTTTCCCTGGTGCAGACTTTTGGTTGTGCACAGCGCGGCACACACTGAAAAACAGGGCCTGGCCTTTTGTCTGACTTCGTACTTCATTCCATTTTAGTGTCAGCAAGAACCTTTTAAATGGTATTCGTGTTGTCATGGTTTAGATTTTGGTCCTGACTCAGCGTTCTGCTATCACTTAGCGCCGTGGTGGTGGTTTGTAATTGCTGGCATTGCTTTGTGGTGAGTGTTGGTGGCTGCTGAGGCCCCGTCTGCCATCTTCTGCTTCTGACTGAAGGCTGGTAGTGAAGTAAAGTAGATAAGTTTTTTATTTGACTGAATACGATACCAACATTCTGGTTCCTTACCTACTTGGTCTGTAGTCATTCTAGACATCTAGATGACTGAGAACAGATTTAAAAAAAAAAAAAGTGGAAGAGGATATTGTGCATCTAGTAAGTGTTTCCCCTCAAAAATCTGCAGTGTGAACTCTGGGGTCAGAATTTTCGGTGTTTTTAATGCCTGCAGGCGTCAGCTGTATCGTCATTTATTTGTATAGCACATTTAAATTGTTTTACTGACCTGGTATATCATGTCTTGAAATCTCTTAAAATAAAGATTCTGAAAAGCTTTATGTTTATATTTAGCGTCAAGTGGCCTTGAAAAGTTTTCAGAATTTGTGATACTGAGAAACGATGAGATAAATTTATTGTTTTGCCCATAAACCAGCTACAGCACATGTGAAACATTTCTCCATGGTACAATAAAGGTAGGAGCAGATAAATAAGCAAACAAATGTTTATATGTCCCAGAGAAAGTCTGAATACTTAAAATAAACATGTCTGAGGCTGTGAGTACCATTGGCGGGCTTCAGCAGGACTTCAGTATTAGTTGACAGAAGGGACTCTGGGATTTCACTTCCAAGCAGATCACAACTTGCACAATGTACAGTATGAAAGAGCGACAGCTGCAAAGAAGTGCTGAAATACAGGGGGGAGGGTACTAAAGTGGTCAGCACCTACGGTATCTAGCAATATAAAATGCACTCTTCTGGTAGTCCTTTAAGAAAGAATCCCGTTTCTTTGTTACAAGAGAGATAATTTTAAATATCCAGTAACATTTCTGTAAGTTGTATTAAAGTATGTTTTTACTTTTTTCTGTAGGCAATTAAAAGTCTGGAAGATTGGATTTCAAAACATACCACAAATTTCAAAGGGAGTAAATCTACATGAAGAGCTACAAAGGGAGTTGATTTGAGAAGACACAGCGTTTGCAAAAATGTCTTCAAGTTGTGTGACTTCAGTGTTTGCTTTGATGATTTTGTGCTTTGCAGCTGCAGGTAGGTGACATTATGTAAATCATGCATTCAGTGTAACTTATTGTATATGCTCAGAATTATTGATCAAAAATACTTTTTCCATGCTGGAAAAATGTAGGTCAGCTGAAGTTTATATTTACATCTAGGTTTGATATAAAACTACTGTGATCATAACTGCTGGAATGGTGATACTTTGGAAGTGGAAACAGGGTAGCCCTGCCAGCGTGAGGGTTGTGCTGGTGAAGCTGAGGTAGAATCTCTCTACAGAGGTGAGCTGAAAGGGTGTACCACCTCAGCTCAGTGCTGCCTTCAAGGTCTAGCATCTGGAATTAAGTCCTGATTACTTTAGTTCAGAAAAGAAATTTTCGACAAAATCTCATAAAGGTTCGTAATAGGTCACCAAGTCTGTCCATCCATCCTTCCTGACCTATTGGGATAGATCTCACCTCGGTCATTCCTGACAGTTAACTGTCAATGGTGATGGTCAGTGTTACTGGAGGTCTCATAAATCAGGAAGATGCCTTGCCATTTACAGGGATTGTTCCTCTCCCACATTTTGTCCTAGATAGGGATTTTTAAGAGTGTGTTGCAATAACTTGTGACAGAGAAAGGAAAGATCTGTAGAGTTCAAGTACCTAGGTTATATTGTAGTTTCTTCAAGTGCTGAAGTTATTCTTCTTGGTATGTTTGTTTGTCAAAGTTCTTCCTGTGGTTGCAAGGGGAAGCCTCTTCTATGTCCAGCTTGCATACAGCATGGGTCGTCAGAGAAGAGGCCAAGTAGATACACAGTTAGTGAAAATGAGGTAGTGGGAAAAGTGGACAGTGGACAGATGGCTTGCTTAAATCTGAGATGTCCTCACTGTGGAAAAGATGACCAACTTTGGACGAGACAGGGCTGAGCAATTAAATGTGTTACAATTTGGCTTCCTTTCATCGTCAGCATGGAAAATTATGTTGTTTCAAGACCTCAGGCCTTGTGGGACTTTCTCTGGGGTTGACCTCCTGAAGGCATCCATCCAATATTAGTAACTTCGATTATTTAATAGTACGTGATGCTAACATTTTGCAATAGCTTCATTACAGATGAACTTTCAGCAATACAGGGTGTGTCTGAGTGTGTCTGTGGCCTGAGCTGAGGGTATGGATGCTGATCTTGGCTGAGAAGAGCGATTACTTGGAGCGAATCTGAATCATTACAGATGTGTAAAAATCTGCTTTGAAAGAAAGTGACACTGTAGGAAATAAGCTGTTTTAATTGATCACAACCATAATTCCATTTTGCTGCTGAGGAGATTGCTTGCCTAAGAAGTCAGCTTACCTCTTAACACCAGCTTTAATTAAAACCCACTAATTTAAAAGTGTTGTCAAACATAGTACTGCTATTAGAAAGTTATTCAGTGTTCAGAAACCTTAGCATGCCTGTCCTGAAGTTCATTGTGGTTTTTTTTTTGTATTACTCCCCAATTCTGTGTTTTACTCTGGCAGCTATTCTTGAAACAAACTCTTAAAAAGTACTATGGCTTTGGATTTGATCAGATGCTTATTCATATGTAGAGTCAGAGAATGATTTTTGGCTGGAAAGGACCTGTGGAAGTCTAGTCCAGCTCCCTGCTCAGAGCAGGACTAGCTTCAAAGTTATTTCGTTCTTGGAGACTGATTCTTCCCACTATCTGCATGGGAATAAGATAACTGAAGGGAGTAGAAAGGGTCACAGTTCGTTAGGGGGAGGTGAGGAAGCACTGTCATTGTGGTTTCTAAGCGTGTCTGTCCTGTGGGTTTTGGTTTTCTTCCATGCTTTTTATTTTTGCAATAAATTCTTAATGAGAACAACTAGTTAACATCCTTTACAGAGTATCGTGAGTACAGTAAGATAAGAGCAATGAAGAACTGATGGACTGATGAAGGAGAGAAACAGAGCTCTCAGACAGATATAATTACAACTGAGGAAGGACAGCTCTCTGAAGGTTATTTAGATAGAGCTTTTGCAACGTTTTTCTGTTAGTAGTCACTGAGTCCTGTTAGCCCAAACAATTATGCTTTACATGCAGGGAGTTTGTGGCTATAGGTGAAATACAGGTGGGAGCAAGCAACGCATGTGGAAAAAGCTGTAGTACATGTGCATGAGCTGTTGTGAGCTTGATGGCTAGGGTACCACAGGCTTGGCTTTTAATTGCCAGTGTACAAACCTGAGCTTTTTCAGGCTTGAACCATTAACATGCTAGTATAAATAAAACTGATAAGTATAAATAAAACTAAGAAGTATAAATAAAATCCTTATGTGCCTGTGGTGAAGCCTGGGGGAGGCAGGGGGCAGCATGCCACCTCCCTAGGGTGTTGATTTTTGTATATTGAGCCTTTTTCCAGCTTGCTCTTTGTTTCTGAAGTAGTGAGGCTGCTGCAGGAGAGCAGACCTTTCTTTTGTTTGCCAGTCCTACACTGACACTGCTATTATTGGTCTAGGTTTTGTTGCTAACTTTCCAGTATCTTCAGCATTGTTATCTTTTCAGGTATAGGTGATCTAGACAGAATCTGTGGTGGATTTATTTGTTTGGTTTTGTTTTGTTTTTTTTTCTTTCTTCCCATTCTTGCTTTTTGAACTACTAATGTGTTAAATATATCACAAAAACCCCCTGAATTAGATGACATGATGCACAGAGATGCATATTCAAACCTGAGCCACAAAACTGCATGTTTTTCATGCTAATAGCTTAAAGAATATACTTCACTAACATTGCATTGAAAATGGTCTGTATAAATATTCAAAAAATATTTGTCTATTTCTCTACTTCCTCTTACTGCTTGGATGTTTGTAGCTAAATGCATATCAGAATCTGATGTACTTTTAGCTTGTAGACAGATTTCTTCTAAGCTCATATTTATACAGCTTCCATTGTACAGAAAAAGACTGCAAAGAAAACCTTGACTACTGTGAGATTTTTCTTCCCCATGGAAAGTCCAAGGCAGGATGGAGAGGCAACTGCTGGCAAACTACCTTACTGTCTGAAGGAATTCTGTTTTTGAAGTGGGCTTAAACTAAGGTCTGGCAACCTGCAGTAGGAACTCCACAAAAACAGTCAGAACTGCACAGCTACAGCCTTGGATAACCTCATAAGCAAGTCTGGCTTTGTAGTCTTGGGAGCAAAAATATTCTGCCCTAATGTGGTGTAAATCAAAGGCTGAAACATATTTATTTTACTTGCTTGCAAATTTGTGCAGTTGGGTGCGTGATGTATGTCTTGATAAAATGTCTTAGAGGACAGCTGAAATGCATTCCTGCCCTAGACCCCGAGGCCAAACCTTCGACAAGATAGGTTCTTCCATGAAGGACTGGGAAATTTTTTTCAATTGAACTTCTTTTTTTTCCTTTTTCTTTACTGCCTTACTGTTCAGCTGGAAAGAAGGTAGAAGGGTGATACAGCCTGTGGATCTGCACTGGCCAAAGTGCAGATCCACATTCCAGTCTTCTGGGGTAGATCCTCTGGTGGCGCAACAGTGTCCCACTGTCGACAAAGCAGTGCAGCCGTGGCATCTGATACTAACCAGAATTTGCCCATGCAGCTATGTTCTCTGTCCCTCAGCCCCCCAGACATTTGGTGTTGCCTCTGCTTGCTTTGTAGACACCTCTCTCCTTGTGACAGTTTCATGGTTGTGGTCAGGCTGATGGAGAGACTATAAGCATTGGATACATTGAAGAATTTACTCATTTTCTGTAACACTGAGCTTACTGCTTTATCTGCTTACATTAGGTCTGTCTCTATGGTTTTCTTTCAGCAGCTCTTTATTCCTTGGTTCTCTACTGTATTATTATTCTAGGTTGTGGGTTTTTTTTTCCTTTCTTTCTACATGCTTGTTCTTATAAGTAATCTTACGTTGTTCAAAGCATGTGTGCTTCATTTTCAATGAGGCTGTTTGCTTGTAAGCTAATGTATCTTTTGGGTCTGTGCCCCCCAGATATGGTGGTGATGGGTGCCATGTTAATAAGCATAACAACAGGAAGAAACAGGCCTTGTCATGACATCTTTTTTTTATTTTTTTAAAAGAGGAACTTCCCCTGACCTTGAACACTGTGTTTCCAAAAGCAACATAGGATCTTTCAAAGTATAATGGAAAGTCCTTCCACTGGAAGGTGAAGGACGTGATCTAAAAGAAAAAAAAAAATATGCTGGGAGTCACTCACAAATTTCCTTCCATTTTAAGCAGTGTTTGCTGGGTATTTCCCAGATGTAATTAAATTGTAAGTTTTATTTTTCCTCAAAATATTTGCTGCCAGAGGTGTGGGGGGTTTTGTTTGTTTAAATTGTGGTTAGAGGATGAGAACTAAGGGACAGCAGTTGGTTGGCGCTTGAATTATTGGGAATGAAGTAAAACACAGATTGGTTGCAACTTTTGAACAGATAGCGGTTTCGCTCTCCCACCTCCCTTTTCCTTCGGTTCTTTCTCATAATCAGCCAACTTCTGCTTCCCTTGAAAAACCACCCGGTCCTATCCCTTTATGGTCTGGATAGTCAATCAGTCTTCTAGAGGATGAGATTAACCAGCACTCGGAGCATTTAAAGACGTTCAAGCTCAGAGAAGAGTTAGAGGAGCAGAGGGCTGGTTCGCATGCTGGGCCTTGCTTTTCTTGTATCTGTGCTGCTGCCATGCTTTGGGTCGGAAAGGCTGGGAGCCCTTCGGTAGGGGCTGTGAGGCAAAGGCTGGGCTCTTTTCATGAGAGCCTATCATGCTCTCAGTTCTGAGAAATACCAGTTGGGAACCACTGACTAGCTTTTAAAGGTGGAAATTTTTTGAATTTTTTTTATCCTCTCTGCGCCCTGATGGTGAAGCATCTTAATGTCAGATGTTCATCTGATAGGGAACCAAATGATGAATTCCTAACTTCATGTCAGTGAGCTCGATGAGATAACTCCACGAAACCAAAATATACTTAAAAAATTGATAGGTAATCTTAATTTCACACAAAAAGAAATAATACCTTTCAAGAAGTAAATGATGTTTTTAAGTGAGCAATTCAAATATGAAGA